ATACATGATCACATGCTCCACCGTCTCTGACTGTGCACAATAATCACAGTTTCTACTTTCATGTTTTCCAATAATATGCAATGTGCTGTTTAATCTTGTGTGTCCAAGTCTCATACGAAATAAAATGTCTTCTTCCTTTCTATTTGTACAACTCCAAACTATTATCCCACCCTCAGCAATGAGTTGATCCTCGAGGCAGCCKTATAAAGCCAGGGAGTGATGAGCCAATCCTTCACAGGTGAGTCCAATGAGCRTTGCCAGCCAATCAGGGAGGCAAAAGGTGAAAACACCAAAATGCCTCACACTGAACAGGTTCTCAAGGACGGTGCAAGGACAAAAAGACATCATTTTTGCCATGCAATGGCAACAACTAGGTTTTTTTTTTACGTCGACCAAATATAAATCACGCAATTAGACWAGCACCAGTTCCTGTGAGAAGAGCTAGAAATTCTGGAGTGAACACTGACCAGCAGAGACCCTTTTTCTGCGAGGTGATAAACCAAATCAGTGATCTCTCACAAAACAGAACCATAAAATGCACCGCGTTTTTGGAGAAAAAAAAACTTTGTTGACCTGGAAGAGGGTTCAGATTTTAGAGGACGAGGCAGTAAAAATTTGGGTGGAACTGAGCTGTAATCAGTTTCTGTTCATCACTAACACTGCCAAGAACCCAGCCACAGSCAATTAGCCTGACAGCTCGGGTTTATCACTAGGAAACGGGTCCAGTGTCTGCATGTGTGCGTCTGTTAGTCATGAGGGAAAACTGCAATTAGTCTGAGGGAGACATGAGATTAAAACAATATCTTTTGTCCTCATTTCTAATGAGGCTTTGGTCCTGAAACAGCTCCAGAGTTAATACTGGAAATAAATTGTCTTTTACCTTTACCTGCCTTTTACCAAAACAGAAGATCAGTGTTAACAGTTTTCTGTGACTCAGTATAAATCCATACAGGAGGTGGTAAATGGAACAGAACTAGGCCTTTAAAGTTTCTTAATGAGTCTGAAAGGATTGCTGTGTATGACTCATCAGCCTTTGTCCTCCCACTCCTCAGCACACTGCTTTTTGAAGTAAAAGCTTTGTTCTCCTTATTGTTTAAACAGGTTTTAACTCTAAATAATGATTTTTTTTTTTTACAAACAGACAAGACATTTTATCCAAATTTATATGTATTTCAAAAGTCTGGTTTAGTAAAAAATTACCGGAATGAAAAAAGAAATCATCGGTTTTCTATCTTGCAGTTGAAACAAGAAAACGAGAGCCATGTCTCAAAATATCAAACAGTCTGACAAGGAACAGCAGGAGCTCTGATTTTAATACAGCAGCAAATTTATGAATGAAAAAGCAATCTCTCTCTCTCTCTCTCCCTCACACACACACACACACACACACACACACACACACACACACACACACACACACACACACAC